CTGTGTTTTCTAACTAAACTATCTGTCTCTTACTAACATAACCTATTACTGTTACATAATTAATGCTCACCATTCCAAATACAGAGACTTATGGATTGACATGCACAGATAACAAACACAATTCTATATGCTTATGGTCTATACCATTAAATACACTGGCATTTTTATAATACACATTGAAGTTGTTTGCTTGCTTGCATTGTGTATTTATAATGTGTAATCATTTTATTGCAGTGAAAACCCTAAACTGTCTGTAGATCTAACATCTTTAAGCCAACCCCGTCCATCCGTGCAAGCCATATATGAAGTAACTACAGTGGATTACAAGACTGATCCCAATGAACCTTTGGTGGCATCACTCAAACCAAAATCAGTGTAGAAATATTCTACTTGAAGTGAACATTGTTAGCTTTTATTCTGTCTATGTACAAACCATCATTGTCAAAAAAGATTGGTTATATCATTGTTAAACACTGTGAAACATTGCAATAGAGATTTCAAACTGTTGTATATTTATTTTCATGACTTACTAGTAGTTGAAATCAGTTAGTTCACAGCATTTCTAAAAACATCCCTGGATGTGTCAGTTACTTCACGGCATTCATCAAACATCCCTGGATGTGTCAGTGAGTTCACAGCATTTATAAAACATCCCTGGATCTGTCAGTTAGTGCCATAACCAACCACTGAGGGGGGCGGGTCACAACATTTTCAGAATTGAGGGTCATCTTACACCTGTGTTGTTTACTGATCACTATAAACCATTGTAATGTACAATTTCAAGTCAAAGTAAATTTATCATGTTATTAATTTATACTCTTTAATTTCAACCACTAAATCATGATTTATTCTAACCTCAGACCACAACTCACTGTGGTAATGCACTGTGTTTCAAGTTGAGCTCTGGTCAACACTCACTGTGGTTGCTCAGTGTTTTTGTGTTGAACTTGGCCTGCAACTGATTGTAATGAATCACTGTGCAGCTGAGCTTATTTTATACAAATAACTGTCCAGTTATGCGTATACATTAAATATTTAGCTCCGCTGTCGTCTTTGTCGAGCAAAGCTTATCATACGAGTGATTTTCCGTTGGCATCTGTCATTGTCATTACTTTTTTGACTTCTTCTTGAAAACTACAAGCATGAATGCTTTGATACTTGGTGTATTTGTTCATTTCATGATGTTTCATTTAATTCTCTAATTTTTGTTGTTGTTGTTATTTTTGGTAAAAAGTGATATTTTTGACTTCTTGTTAAAAGCCGCAGATCTGATTGCTTTGATATTACATATATAGGTACGTGTACTACCGGTACATGTGAACCTCTCTCAAATTTGTTCATTTTGTGATAATATCTTTAATTCTCTAATTTTGATGAATATTTTTGTCATTTTGGGTAAGTTTCAAATTCTTGTTCAAAACAGCAAGTCTTATTGCTTTGATACTATAAATATTGCTCATTTTCTAATGATATCTTCTGTTCTTTAATTAATATGTGCATTGCTAACAGCGGAGCTTTTTTTCTTTCTTTCTTTCTTCATTGACTGTAGAATACTTTATTTTCGCTTGGAATTTATTTTCGTTATTTTCGCTGAAGGGATGATTCCGTGAAAATAAAATCCAGCGAATATACTTTTTTTCCTATATTTCACATTAAACTCATCAAAAACAAGTGAAAATTTATTCCATACAAAATGCCCAAAAAGCCTTTTCAGCGAAAATTTATTCCAGCGAAAATAAAATATTCCACAGTATTTATTTATTTATTTATTTATTTATTTATTTATTTATTTATTTATTTATTTATTTATTTATTTATTTATTTATTTATTTATTTATTTATTTATTTATTTATTTATTTATTTATTTATTTATTTATTTATTTATTTATTTATTTATATTCAAAATTGAATTATCAATATGCAGTGTTTTTGAAGAAATCTTTGTTTATTAAACCAATAAAAAAATAAGTCATGTTTTATTTTATACTAAAATTAATTTTTAAGTTTCTCTACTTGTATCTTTTATCATAATTTTTAACTTCAGTAAATCATTGAATGTCATTTCATAACAACCCATATTTCAATTTTTGTA